GTTGGATATGTAGTCTCTAAGCACAAGTCACTCCTGCTCCTGTAGGGCCGGGTTGGATATGTAGAGTCTAAGCCTCAATGATCTGGAAATAGCAGTATTGCGCAACCAACTGATTCCAGTAAGTTTGAGATTCCAGGGTGAGAAGGGAAGCCAGAAGACAGGGTGGCCCTTGAGGCCCCGCAGTGAGTATCGGTGGTGGAGAGCAATGATCCAGCTGCGGTGCCAACTCTCACGAGTGGCCTCTCCTGTTTCTGAGGACAGCCTCTGAGTTGAAAAGGGCCGAATAACGGTCCAAAACGCCTGACCAATCGAATAAAGCCGTTCTGTGAGGGCAGATGTTTGTCGTGCCGTTAAATATTGGCCATGCAAGCTTTCACTTTTTTTTCACTTTCACTTTCACTGGTCATTTGATATCAACGTAGCGTTCAGCCACCCACCCAGACAGATGAAGGTGAGATTGAGTCCCAGCTGTGAATATCAAGGTGCTAAGACTTGGAAGGGGTGGCAGGTGTTGGCAGTTCTTGGGATCGGGCAGTTCTTTGTCATGGTTTCTTTGTTTGCTCCCCTTAGGTAGTGAGCTCTCGGCAGAATGGAAACTTAAGACCGCAATTTGGGAATAGAGGAATGCAGTCCATGTTAACATTCCTCACAGAATAAACAGACCTGCTTTGGACCAGCATTGTAGCTGCTTGAGAAGGAGATCCTGAACCCTTTATTTAATAGGAAATTAAAGATGCTTTAAGGATTGGATATTGCTTAAAACAAAGGTAAACTTTGTAAAATTTTGTAAAATTCCTGGCCGCTGTCAACTAATATTCTGAAAAGGGGGATTGAATGGCAGGAGATGTTTCTGAAGGTTTTATTCGTGATTGTTGGAAACACGGTCGCTGAAATAAATTAGTTGCCACGAACACTTTTGAGAGGCAGTGAGGCATGACGGTGAGTCTCGATACTTTCTTCATGGGTGACACACGGGTTTTAGAGGGGCAGGGGTGGACTCAGTCTGCCACTGGGGTCTACAGCCCTGCTCCTCTGGAGTGTCTTCTGGTTTCTATTGCAGAAGAGCTTTGAATGGCTCAGTTGAACAAACCAGTTGCTTAATTAGGGGGAGTTAACATGCGTTCCAGGTCTTTTCTCATTGACCATTTGAGGCTACCAATAAAACCTGCAGGACTACGCCTGTCTGGGACTAGGGATACAGACCCCTAGTCAACCATTTTCAGTTGTAAGTCCATCTGTTAACATTTAAAAATGTCTACCCCTGGTGTGTGGAGTTCAGTAAAAGAGGAAATTTTCATTTATCGGGCTGCTTTTGAGCAACTTCCTTTCCTTCATAGGAAAGTGCTAAGTCAGAAATAAGACCCCCCCCCCCCCCCCCCCCTCCACACACACACACACTCTTTTATAAGACACAGTAGCCAGGGCACCTTAGTTGACCTTTGACCTAGGCACCCATGCGTGCTTTAGGTATGATTTCACTTTCTCTGCCTTTCTTTGTGAGTCTGAGAGCATGTCGAATTGTGTGTGTGTTTAGGTCCTTCTAATGAAAGGACCCAGCGGAATAACAAAGCAGAGGGGTTGTCCTGGGCATAATCCCCACGTTTATCTTGTTCGTTATATTGTTTGGTGGGGGAGGGTGTTGCTATGCTTCCTGAGGTGCTAGTGTGGGCAGTAAGTAGGAAGGTGATCTGTCTTTGCGTCTGGGCTTTGCATAACAACAGAGCGGCCCTCTTGAGATTTGCATGAGTGAATGTGTGGCTAGCTGGTTAGCTCCTTGTCTTTAGAGCTTGATAACTATTTGCTCTCTTCTTGGCACCGTATAGGAGGATAGGTCGATTAAATGTTTAATTATTAGAAATAAGCAAGAGAGTGTCACCTCATGAACGTTTCAGCCACCAACGGGAAAAGAGATCCTGAAGTGAATAATGTGACAGCTTAGCTGCTCTCATGTTTATGAATTTGGTGTCTAATTGAATCTGTTAAGAAAAACAAAATAACCGCTACTAATGTATTACCTCGGTAAACATTTGAAATGGACAAGAAGTAACGTGGCACCGATGTTTTGAATGTGTTCTTCATTGCCTAATTTTGTTTACTCATTCAGTCCTTGCCTTTGGTTTTCAGAAAATGGGAAAGGGAATGTACATCTGTAAACTGACACACTCTTTGAATTTTTAAAATGTTCTTCGTATTTACAGAACACTGCAGTACTTTTAACACATGGGAGGCAAAAATCTAGCTGGCCAAAGCATGTGGTGTTGATCTCGGTGTTTATTGAAAGAAAAATTATAATTTATGCCCTCCTAGGCTAAGTTGTGTAAATGACAAATGCCCCTTGAAATAAAGACGGGACTATTTAAAATGCATTTTCAAAATAAATTTTTCAGGAGAAACTACGATCCTATGTTGATAACCTTTGAGACATTTTCATTCATTTTGGGGAATTCGTTTATTTTACTTGAGGCACAAAATCAAATTCTGAATCTTTTATCATACCATATTCTTTGAAAATACTGTATATTTCTAACTGGAAAATATATTTTTTTCTTACTTTGATCTGTTTTCATTAATGTTTCAAGACGTCACACTGGTGCAAAAATTCCTACTAACATTTCCAGCTGATTATCTGAAATTGGGTGGTTTTTATGTTTATAAATTCCATAGTCTCATTGCAGTGTTTCTACTTCAGTAATCCAATGATAGCGCTAAATGAGATGATTACTGTATATGCTCAGTGAGTGCTGTTCTAGGTCTTTCTATTTACCCCAAATTAATATGCATCGGGTCTTTTAATAATTTTAAGGGTTCATATTCCTAAACAGTTCATGCTTTGGTAAAGGCATTCCTATGGAGTAACCAGTTAACTACCAGTATTACAGCAAGTGTCAATTTCATCCAGAGATTCCAGCTGGACTTATTTCTCCTACTTTTTACATACAATTTACACATTTTACCTTTAATTGCTTTGGCTTTCTTTTGTCCCCAAAGGCAGATGTAATATTTAGAACAGTTGTTTCAAGAAAGGAGTTGCCCTTACTTGAAGTTAGCTGTAAGAATGGCTTTCCAAAGGCCTCTAATTATATATATATATTTGCTAAATCTAAGTCAGTTTCATTTACCTCCTGGACTGCAGTTCGATGTGCTTTATTGAGTTTTGTTAGACTGAATGCTTAAATGAGCTATTGTGTGTTAAGGCTTAGAGAGAAAAAGCCCAAGGAGAAAAGACCTAGTTACCTTTGCAGTTTGCCCGGTCTACCTCATACACTTTCTGTTTCAGAAGAAAGGGCCCATTCACTGGCTTCTGTATAGAGAGGGAGTAGTCTTTTCACACTGTGCTTGTGGGAAACTTCTTTCCATACTATGCATTTT